CACAAAGGGGAGACAGGGTGAGAGATGAGTTTTGCAGATTAGCTATTAATGCAGGTAATAGAAGAATAAAGGAGGCAGATATAACTTCCTGAGGAGTTATATCTCGTGCCAAAACATAAGTGGATATGAAGAAATGCTTGCACAGAGCAAGAAAAATCCAGTCAGCTGCAACAGGTTGTCAGTGAGACAGCTGAAACTTCTTCTGTCTTTTGGCATGTGATATTTTTGGATGAAGCCTTTTATGAGAGGGAGAGAACACAAGGGGAAATCAGGCTCCTCAGCAGCTTGTGTTCAGACAAAAGGCTTGTCAGCTTGGGCACTGAATTATATGACAGCACCATTACCTCTCTCCTACTTGAGGACCTTTATAAGCAATGATAGTTGCCAAGTAATGATCCAGAGCTGGCATTTGCAAGGGAGTGGAGCTCCTTGACTGGGTACCACCTCTGTGTCTAGACTGCCTGTAGAGCAAGGCGAACTCCTAGTTTGATTTTATCTTCCTACCAGCAAACTTGAAAGCATGAGTATATCCACAATGTGAGGCTTACTCAAGGTTTCAGTGCTTATTTGTTTTCTGTTTAGTGGGTCGCTATGGAGAAGACCCTTCCTATCAAAAGGCTTTGGCAGAAAAGGATGGTTCCTTTAAAGAGGCTGCAATATCCTTGTTTATTTAAGTGGCGCAGACAAGTAGGAAAAAAATAACAGTGAGTTAAAAGAGCATGAAGAACAGATGGAAAATGCTCTGCATTTTGGAGAAAAAAGGTGTGTCCTCTCACCTCCTAGAAATGATGACTGCTGTTCCAGATGTAGCCACTTACTTCCTAAAGGTACTTTCAGTCTCGTGTCACAAATTCAAACTGGCATCCCACTCTTCTCCAGAAATGCCAAGAGCTACTCTGTGGAACAGCTGAGATTTCTCCCTTGCAAATGTTGCCTGTTCCGAAGGAAAGGGACCACCCCTGAGTTGTGATTTGGATATTTTCTCATAATCCTGTGCCAAACAAGAGGTAACTTTGCTTCTCTCCCATCTGATCAGACCAGGACTGTTTGTAGAGGAAATGAGACCATTAACAGATGTTCTGCATGCAGCTGACCTGTTTTCCATCCTGAGGATCACTCCAGATTGCATAAAAACCTGCTCAGGTGTGAGCAATTCACCCCTTTCTGTCCAGTCTGTAGGTGGTGAGTGTCCTGATGAGCATTTGGCATCCTCTGTGTCCCACACTGACCTTGCAGTTACTATAGGGCTGCAGGATTGTGTCCCACTTTTTGCCTCCCAACCGTAATTGTTTCATTGGGTTATCTGTGCTGCCACAAGTAACTTTTCCCCTACATCACTCCCTTTTTTTCCATTCCCAAACGACATAGTGCTTGGTGGTATGACATCTCAAGGACATAGAGAGCAGAAAAAATGGTTTTGTACTGAGATTCTGTAGATGAAAAGGTGCAAACTTTCTTAAGCCAGAATATTCTGTTGGCATCCGAGCAAAATAAAAAATATTGGATACATTTTCCTTGTCTGTCTTAGCCTTATCCACTGGAGAACCCTGAGATGGAGTGCAATAACGTATATAAAAAATTATGTGCTTCAAAGACACCCAACTCTTTCTCCCTATTCCGTACTATTTATACTATTTATGTTAGCTTTCCTTGACTGCTTTAAAGTTTGATCCCTTTAAAGTTGGATCTCTTCTTCTTAAGTCACATCAGACTTTCCTACATCCTTTTCTCCTCTCTCTCCTCAAAATACTTTGCCTTTTCTTGTCTATCTAGGCTCTTTTCTCTTTCTTACTTCTACTTCAACTACTATTCAGACTTTCTCAGATCATCGAGATCTTTGTTGCATCCAAACAGAAATTGGGTTTCAGCTTTGACAGGTGTCTTTTTAGCTCAGCGCTGACAATCTTTTCTTAGGCAGCAACTTCCTGTAGGATCTATTTGAGAAATTTCTGAATGCATAAATTATGTTGGCATGCACAAATAAGCATAGCAAAAATGTTAATTACTGCCACTTTTCAGTTGCTGAGTCTCCCCTTAATGGGTTGAGCAAGTTTTGTCTGCTCTGCTTTTTTTTTTTTTTTTTTTTTTTTTTTTTTTCCAGATAAATTATCAAATGACTTCAACATTTGGTGCTGGTGCACAGAGAATAATGAGAGCTTGTTTTTCATGTTGTTGTACTTCATGCAGATTGTTTTTCTGAAGGCATGCTAAGGAATCTGACAAAAAGGCAAGAGCATCTATAAATCAGAAATATTTTCTGCCCTGTTTAATGTGTTTTTGCCAAAAGCATTATTCTTGTCTTTTCCCATAGAATACACCACGAACGCGGTGGCATCAGCAGAAGTCGTGTGGACGTTGGTGCACTTGGCAGAGGGCCTGCAAGGTGCCATGCGCTGCGGTCTGTAGGAGATGATGTCATTTGACATCATCGCTGCACAATTCGACGCAATCATCACCTCTGCCCCACGCCGGGGAGGGGGGTAAGGAAATTCACGCTGTCTCTGCCCACACCATCTCTGCGTATGTTGACTGTAACCAGGAAATAGAATATATATAATTATAGATGATGATTTAGGCTTTAAAATCCTGAGGATGGTGACTATGACACAACTGACAATTCCTGTCTGAGGTAGGATCGAAAACGTGACTTTAAAGCTAATTTCTGCTTCTGGCATGGGAGGATCAGACTGCAGCTTCGTCCCCTTTGCTGTGACAGTGACGTGCACGGCTCCGATGATGCAGAAGCGCGTCGAAAGCGGGGGGCAACCTGGACCCCGAGGTTCACATTATCTGCATACCCACAAATCTTGCACCCTGTTCCTCACGCAGTCCAACACCATTGCCTTTCTGCACACCTCCTTGCTGCTGAGTATCTGTCCGGGCAAAGCAAGGCGACCAAAACTCCGTTAAAGAGTGGGAGGCAGGAGTGGCAATGCTGCTTCTTGCTTTAATGCCCTTTTGATTTTCTTTTTCTCCTCGGAGATCAAACCTGTGCATTGCTGGAGCCTTAACCATTGCTGAGGCAGGCTTAGAGGGGAACGATGTCTGAGTGGAATCTCATTGAAAGTTGTGTTTTATAAAGGAGCCGTGCGTCTTCTAGAGCGAGGGCTGGCGTGCCGCGGCGCAGGGCAGGAGCTCAAGCAGTGTATCACCCGCAGGACTTTGCTCTGCGGGCGGCAGCGCTACCAAGCGAAATGGAATTCAATAAATGTGTCTCTCCTTCCGGAACACTCCTGAAGTTGAAACAGGAACGCAGAGCTGTTTATCCACGGCAGGCGACGCGGGCCTCGACGGGCTCGGAAAACACCCGCCTGACCTTTGATGAGAGCATTGCATCCTCCACAGAGAGAACTTTGTGCAAACACCTTGGCGGCACGGCAGCCAAGGAAATAACAGGGAGGGCAGGCTCCAGCCTGCAGGCAGGAGCGCCCCGTGCTCGCGGAGCAGTCGGAGACGGGCAGAGACTGCCCCATCAAATATCCGAGGTCAGGAGGGGAGGCAGGAGCTGCGCTTCCCCCCCCCAGCTGCACCATTTGGCCTTATAACCCCCTGCCCATCAGCCAGGGACATGTTCTTTCTGGATCATCGCCAAGTTTAAGGGGATTAGAAACAATCATGGCGGAGAAAGGCACAGAAATATTCAAGTGGGCATCTGCAGCGACTTCTTAGCTCCTTCCTGCCTCTGTAGGTGAGATCTCAGTGGTTGGTGCCAGCGAAGGGTTTGGTTGTGTCCCCTTGCTGGTAGTGAGAATACAGCAATAAGAACTGACGGAATAAACCTGCTTTCTGACTTCTGTTTTATTTCTGTCTTTGTGTCTTGCTGGGATTTTCTATTATCACTGAGTCAGAAACAGATTTATAGGCTGTGAGTATGATTAATTTCCATTTTGCACCTTGCTATGATCTCAAAGTAAACCATCCTGGCTCTTTGGTTTCTTGATGTTTTGGAGAGCAAGAAAAAAAAAATGAGCTCACAGCAAAATATCCAGGCAGCTTTCTCCCCGAAAAAAAAGATGCTGAGGTTTCACTGTGGCGTCCTAAAGAGGAACAACAAGATTTAGCACCTTCCCTTTATCCAGACCACTAACCTGCTATGGTTTGACAATGTTTGGGGTTATACCTATGGACCACGCAGACAGGTTTTTGGTGCAATCTTTCATTTTTATTGTTTTGATCCCTTAGCAAAGGCACACAATGCCAGTTTAAGCACTTTAGATTTACTGCTGTGATGGGGGAGGGAAATATAATGTTCTAAAGCTTATAGGCCTATTAACTTTATTAAGTTGCAAGGCTCAATAGGCTTGTCAGTGAGTTTTGTGTTTCATATGTTTTTCATGGGGAAACCAAATGAGAGGAGCACTAAGGTGCAATACGCTGTTCCTTTAACAAAGCAAGCAGGAGGGAAGAGGTGATATTGTTGGCTTTGCAGGGAAGTGGAACATATTGCTGCTAATTTATTCTCATAAAATGCAAATTTTATGGATGCTGGGAATTTTTATTATGGTTCTTAATGATTATATGACCTGTGATACCTGGCAATGAACCTTACCTGGGAGCAAAGCCTCAGACTGGGTGCTCTGCAGACAGAGTAGAAGACAGAAATGTCAATTGCCACTTGTTCTGTTAAACCTGATTCATCCAAACCTGAAGTGGGAATATCTTGAATGTATCTGAATCTCCATATACACTTTATGCATGCAAATCACAGTTGTGGTGTGTTAAATTGCATCCTGAACAGCTAGAAAAAATAAACTCAAAGAAGTGAGAAGCAAATGTAAGATCTTGAATCTTCGTTCTGTTCAGATAATACCACTTCTGTGTGTCTCAGAAGTGGACAAACTCCTTGAGCCCTATTGTGGGTTGGCCGTGTCTCAATAACTCACACTCATCTGCATCTGCCTTGTCTGAAAGCAGTTTGTGGTTTCTCAGCTGATCAAAGCCTTTAGAAAGGGGGAATCTGCTCTCAGATTTTGTGGGGGAAAATCCCAGACATTACTTGCCTCTCCCCTCTTAGAATCAGGTCCTGAGGACCAGAGTCTGTCATAGGTGACTTTTAGGCAGAATTGGAAACAGAAAGCAGGCTAAAGAATTTTGCTAGGATTTTACTGCGAGCATTTATAATATGAGATTGAATGAAATACATGCAACCCCCCAGGTTAACCGTTATCTTCTTCCCAGTGTTCAGACCAGATGCGACTGGTTTTTCAAAGTGATTGGGAGATCTGCTGCCATATGAGCCTCTTTCCGTTTCCCACCTGCTGTGTGAACCATCCTTAATGAACACATTTGATCATCATTTCGTCTTCCCTTAGAAAGTCAAAGAAGAGCTGTTTTCCCATGTTGTTCAAAGTTTCTGTAACCTGCCGCTTTGCTCCAGGCTCCACAAAACATCATCCTGTCCGGACCTGCGTGGCCATCTCCTTGGGGTCCCCTGGGAGCAGCTTGGTGGCCTCACTTGGTTGTCCTCTCACCATCTTCTCACACTGAAGGTGCCTACAGAGAGTATCTGAGCACCTCTCACATCCAAAGCTTGTGAGCTAGAAATGTGGCTAAATCCACTCTTTTAGAGGGATGTGACAAAGGTAAGCATAGGAGGTACTGACCAGGCACAATGGGAGGTCACCAGGGACTCAAACAATTCATGATTTAAAAGAAAGCTAAGTCAACAATGCACCGAAGGTTACCCAGAGTCTAAGGCACAAGCTCCAACGCTGAACCTAGAAATCCCGAACCTTAATCACGAGCCTATTCTTGTCCCTCATCTTCCACAAATAATGTTGTGTGAAGGTTAATTTTGTATTAAAACGGGGTTAAACTAAATACAGATACAATGGAAGCTGACACTAAACTATGCTCAAGCAGAATCCAACCCAAAGTGCTTTTCATTGCTGCAGAAACACGGGCTAATCCGCTTATCGGTTGGAGTTGGAGGTCCTGTACGAGTCAGAACGGGATGTTCAATTCAAACGAAGGGATTTTCTCTCTGAATAAGAGGACACATACTGAATATGCAAATAGTCAAATGTTCTCTTGATGTTTTTTTATAAATGGATTGCTTACTGCGGTGTTTAAATGAGGCTAATTTCATTTTATATTTCTATAGCCCTGTTGGTCCTGAAGAATCCTGAAGTACTTTACTAGCAACTACAAACAGATACTTTTTAAAAGTAATTTAAGAGTCATTGGATTATATCAACCGCTGGCACGATCAGCATCACCATGTACAGCGATGATGAAAAAATATTCAACCACAATCTGAGATCAAATTATGAATTTTTCTATAAAAAGTGTTAAGGGCTTTTGCATGCCACTGTGTCTCTTTCAGCCTTACCTAAAGGCCTCACTGCTTTCCATCTCCTGGAATTAAATGCATCTACATCAGGAGACTGAATGTTCCAGTTAAAGTTGTCATAATTTATAACAGCTCAGGTCTCCCCAAAGACTCACACAGAGTTCCCTTCTGGAGCTTTTGTACGTTGATTTTTCAGTGTAAACACTGAAGGAAATACAATGTTTGAGGCTGCTGAGTCACTGTTGTGCATGTCGAACACTGGGTGATTGTCAAAAAAGATCCTTATCCTTTTTGTTCTAAGAAAAAGAAAAAAAGAATTTAATGTTTTTCAGCATTCCCTCACCTATGCAGTCTAACATTCGCAGACTTTGTGGGACTCTTACTGCTTTTACAGTACTCTGTATAAATAAACTGCCGATCCCCTAAAATATTGCGCAATTAAATTAAATGTTGTGCAATTAAATTTGTTGCAGTAACAAATGAAGCTCTTAGACATTAAACATTTGCTACATTAATGGAGATTAACAGAATTTATTAGTCCTACCGAAGATTTGATGGAATAAACTTAACATAGGCTTGCATGCGTCTGCATACCAGAGAAAAAACATCCAAGGAACTTTAGTTCTAAGAAAAACACTTAAAAATTGGGTGCATTAAAAACTAAAAATGTTTAAAAAAAGGGGGGAAGAAAAAGCTATTTATATTTTTACGTATTGTTTTATGTAGGGTAGCTGCTCTAGAGTCTGATAAGGTTATTTGAGGAACTTTCTACTTAAAGTACACTTTTACTGTTTTTCACTTGCAGCCAGGCTTTACAAGGTTTTAATATGATATACTGGAAGTGGTAAAAAATTCTTGAAAAGTATTTTTTAAATCTTTAGACCTTTGACCATATTTGCTATGATGATACAGACTTAACAGTAAACCCACTTGAGAGACATTTTAATGGAACACTTTAAATAAAATCAATCGGTAGTTTTATAATGGCAGCTGAATGTGTGTTCTTGCCATTTTCCCATTTAACAAGAAGAAAAGGCCAAACAAGGACCAATTAGTCATAATAAAATCAGATTTGATGACATTTTCACTCCTGAACTCTGGTATAAAATGGTCATCTAAGAAAGAACTGAAAGGATATGTGAGGAATTTGGTAGTATAACTGCATGTACGTGCACATACACTCCTGGGTAAAAAATGATCAGGTAAAGACACTGCGGGTTACTTTATATACGGAGAAAATATACTGTTTGTGTGTTTATGTGTATGCATGTAGTTTTGCTTGATTTTGGTTTGAATTTTAACTGATCTCAGTTTTAATTTGAAGTCTATGCAGGTTAAACTTCGTTTTCATTCTTTGGATCTCAATGATATTCGTATGCTCGGGTTACCCAGTTGTCCCGTCCATGGTAAGTCATGTTCCCTACCTAATTGAAGATGAGATGCTTCATTTCTTTTATATAGTTATTTTATTTATTATTGTTTGCTTGTTTCTTTGTGGTTATTGTTGTTTTTTAAATGAAAGAAGTTTCTTGTATTAGAGATATTGGTTAAATATTATTACCTGATTTTCCTGGAGTATGGCTCAATTTTTGCTTTAGTTACTAATAAAATATGCAAGCCTCTAAAATAATCATGTGAGAAATCCATTGCATATTTAATGCAGTGTGGGGAGCTGAAATATTGTATGGAGAAGAGAAAAACATCACTCTCCTCTCCATTTCATCTAAATTCCTTGTCTCTATCAAACAGGTACAAGAAGACGTATGTCTGAATTTCACTTATTGCTAGCTAGTTGATACACCAGTAGCTTTATTCGTCACTGTTAGTATGTAGGTAAAGGAGAAATTCTTATATAAAGTTATGGAAAATTAGTGCATGGAATCAGTAATACAAATTTGATTGAGCTATGAAAGAAAATAGAGCAGCCTATAAACCCAAAGTGAACGAGTTAAATAATACTAATGTCTTTTCAATTTCTGATCTCAACCAGGTTACCATGACATATTGCTGGTCAAACTATGCATACGCCTTTAAAGACTTTGCCAGTGTGGAATGAGATATTTTATTTCTAATGATGTTTGATTTCCCTGCTTTGGATAAAGTCTTCTTTAGACTCCCTGTTTCTTTATTGCTGTAAAACGAGCTCTAGGAGACACGGTTGAGATTTCTTTGTTTTCTCTGGTGTGTTTTGTATCATTATCTTTTCATTAAGGTACTCTGTCACTAGCAGAAATGGTGGCTACTCGTGCAGCTGTTTATTTTATTGATGTGAAGTTCCCATTAGCCTTCATCTATCCATCACCTGGTTCCTCTGTGTGTTTTACTTCTGTAAATGCTGAATCATCTTTCATTTCTGGTCACGAATAGTTTAGACAGAGCTCGATCTGGCTAGCCACATTTCTTAATGAATCTCTTTGTGACAATGATATAATAGGTAAAGCAAGTTTAAATATTTCACATAAATTAATATCTTGCATGTTAAAATAACAGTCATTTATTCGGTCGCATGTGTCCCTGTATAGGTTGTGAGATAGCAGCTAAAAATTCAAAGGGGAATTTCTCTATGCCTGTGTTTCTTGCAAAAAGTATTTCATCTTGTTAGGGGGAAACTTCAGTCTGGGGAAAAACCCCCATTAGTGGCACCAGAAGGCTGTGTGGCTAGTGAGCTGCGAGCCTGCTCGGTTGCTTTAGACTCAGTGCATGCTCTTGCTTGCAGAAAGCATCATTAATCTACCTTTTATATGCACAGAACAGAAAAAAATGTTAAGTACTAAACAGTATTAGTAAAAGTAATAGCATGCTGAATTAAACCTAATCTTAGTGAAGCTAATGGCAATTTTGCCATCAATTCCAGTGAAGGCAGGTATTAACCCCGTGGCTTTGCACGCAACCATTTCCCAAGCAAGAATGCAGTACAGACAGCTTCAGAAACGATGGCAGAGTATCTCTTTTAGATAGATAATCAACAAGCTGGTAAATCATGATGTGATGAAAGATGCACAGAACAACTATAGACATGCCAGGAAATGCTTTGGTTTAAATTCAATGTTAAATTAGATGTAATTTACATTTGAAAAATTTTTATGTAGTTTACATTTTTATACTGTAAAGCGCAAGTGAAAGGAACATGTACATAAACGTATATGGATTTGAATCTAGACTTTTTAAAATTCCCATTAAACTTAGTCATAACTACTACCATAACTATTCATAACTACTAGAAAGCTTCCTCCCCCAAATTTCTGCTTTACAGGCATTTTCATTTTCTCTTATCTGTCGTTTAAACTATACAACTTCACACAAGTGATAACAAGATGCTGTTTCATTGTTAACTGAAAAAAAATCTCATTTTGCAGCAATAAATATGCATGCTACTCTAGGGAAACTGTGTTACATGTCACAGCTGGTCAACGTCATGGAAAACAATCCATTTCATACCATAAACAGAATTGTAACAGTATCAGTATTTTATACCAGAAATACCACAGTTTACGTTTTCTAGAAAACTATTAAAAAGTCTGATTTTAAGTATGATGAATCCTTAGCAAATAACAGTTCATTCTTGTCATTGTAAGCATAAATTGGGTTTGTGTTTCTACATGGCTTTTTATACTGAACGAGTCCTGGCAAATAGACGAATACATAATTTTACCTTTTCTTCTCTCTCTCTTTTTTTTTTCTTTTGTTTTGGTTTTTGTTTGTTTGGTTTTCTTTCTTTCTTTTTTTTTTTTTTTTTTTTTTTTTTAATTTTCAGAGCAGCAATCCTTTTTATTTGAATTGCCAACTGTATGGAAAATCTGATTACTGTCTCGTCCTGCTGAATAACTGCTTAGCCAAGGTGGGCAGGAATGAAGAACTGGCTTTTTTAAAGCCTTACCTGGAGATGCCTTTCAATAAAAGGTCCTTTCGCAACGGTGTTGGATCAGGAATTAAAAAAACTTCCTTTCGAAGAGCAAAGTCATAAACAAATGTTCAAAACCACAGCCCCGATTTTAGCATCTGATGTTTAACTTTGCGCTTAAAATCATTTTAATGCTTTTCTATGATAAAACCAACAGAGACAAATGTACCCGTGTCTTCAGCATGTAAACAGATGTTTATTTCAAAGAGCACAAGCCAAGTGGAGCAGATGGGATTGCTCAGAAAGGGCTTTGTTTCCAAAGTTACAGTATCATAAAGTTTTGTATTGAAATGAATGTTTTCATTTGGTTAATTCCCCTTCTTTGTAAAGCCACAGATTTAATCATCTTGCTCTTGATTAATACAAAAATAGTCCTGGGCTTTGAATAGATGTGTGCATGCAGCGTGTCGGGAGGACTGACGGTATTATTCCTGACATCCCTCCTCTCTGCCATAGAGGCAAACCCACCGGCAAGGCAAGGCATGCCTGTACTTTTCTCTCCCAAATCACATTTATTTGAAGACAACTGCTCTGGCAATTTTAATGCAGATTTAAAGTATATTTCATTTCAGATTTCCAAAGATATGAAGAGCTACTGGTGAAAGACAGAATCAGGCCCCACTCGTAACTTCTAGTTTCTTTTTAATATAGTTATTTAAAATGACTTCAGCAGGAAATAATCTCTTGAGACGTGTCATCTCATTTCCAGAAGAGTCCTGGGAAATCACTCTAAGGCAGGGTATCAGTGCAGTTCCCTTTGCCTCAATTAATTGACTTACATAGGCAACACACATCTGATGAAATGTGCCAAATGCAGTTTCTGCTCATCTGCTACAGTTGTGGCGCAGTAATTAACAACTTTTTTTTTTTTTTTTAATTTCCTGTAAAAAAAAAAAAAAGAAAAGTCATTTGGTCTGAAAATATGTAAATGTGGTGTGTAGGAAAGGTCATCTACTGAGTTACATATGTGTGAATTTTACCTTGTGGCTGTTTCCCCTAAATGCAGTGTAACAAGCTGTGATGTTGGCTTGAAAATGTTGCAAAGTGTCCATGCAATGCATTTTGAATTCAAAGCTAAGATAATAATAAATCAGTATATGGATGCTTTCTAATATTTCCCTATTAAATATCATAACCCAGGAGATCATCATTAAGCCTAGAATAAGGCCAGTCATCACCATCCCCTCCATGATGTCCATTCCTGTGCCTTGTACCCCTGAGCCCGTGCAGAAAAGTGACTCAAGCACGGAGCTGTGCTAGTGTGATACGATGTTTCTGGACTGCATCTGGCTAATTTCTGGCTGATTCAAGGAGATCAAACACACCCCTGTCTGCGTTTGTCCACACTGAAATGTTTAAAGCATCGTATTTTTTAAAGCTGCTTAAACACTTAAACTCCTTTTGGGTACTATTGGTGTCCAGGTTGCCTAGCTCTTGCAGCTCTTAGTCAAGTGATGCCTAGAGACCTTTAAAAATGTATAAGGAAAACGTTAGATAATTATTATTGTCATGCACTCTGTCTTGTGTAACGTCTGGATGGGAGGAAGCCCAGGGCAGTGGACGCGGTGGCACGCAGGAGTTTCGCTGCAGCGGGGCGTTCGCCCTGTTTCATTCTTGCCTGCTGCGATTTCAGCCACGGCAGATGTCCCACACGTGCAATTTTCCAGCTTGAGCACTATCCAGCTCCATCCAGAACTGCCCAAGAAATGGTGTTTTAGTGCCTCTGGCCACGCCGAACCAAAGGGCTGGGAGTGACTCTGGGCCGGTGCCTGCGGAGCGAGAGGCAGGTGCTGGTGGGAGGTACCAAACCAAACCGCGGGTCCTGAGCGCAGGGTCCTGGCTGTGGCACTTCTTCCTTTTCAGTAACTTAAGGGAAAAAAAGTAACGTGGGCTTGATGATGCCCTTGTGCGGGCATAATGTGTGTGTCCTGCATCTGTGCACGTCTGTATTCAGTGAGGTGGAGGTGTTTTGTGGCAGTGCAGCTACCTGAAGTGGCTCTGTCCTGCTCCTTGCAGCTCATTTCACCACCCAACTTATTTCTCAGGAAAGAAAAAACTGAAACAAGTCCAGATTTATCTTTGTTTTGGGCTTTCACATCCATTTTAGTTACCTTTTCTACATAATCAAATACATTTCTGCTTTGATAACCTATGCTAAACAAGGTTGTAAGCCAACTGAGCTATACGTGTAGCTTTGAAAATCAGCTTCTTCCTTTTCATTTATTGTACAGGTATATGACTCACTCGTTTAGTGCTTTGGCGATTGCCTTTGAGCCAGGTATGTTCAGGAGGGATGGAGAGCCGGTATCGTGCTCGCACAGACCTTCATCCCCTTTTTTTGAAAGTATGGGCTGCAAGAAAAATAGCTTCTTGGCTACAGGAAAAAGTCCATTATTTATGATTTAGTCATTCCCTGACAAGCCACTCCACCCTGAGGGATCTGCATATACAAAAAAAGATGGTACAAGGAGGCCACCAAGAGCCATAAGTCTTGCACTCACCTAAATCACACTGAGCAAGCATGGAAAATGTAGATTATTCAGCTGACTTGCAGAAGCAGTTCTGTCACCGGCGGTCTGATCTCGCCATCACCACCCACTGAAAACTCACGGCACTTATGCTGCCTTCGACATGAAATGCTAAACTCTTTTCTGAACTTTAAAGGTGGCTTTATTTTGGAAAGAACAGAGAGTAACCTTCGTGATCTCTGTCAGAAAATAAGGATCTAAGGGTGCCATTGTTGAGCACATTAATTTTTATGCTGACAGAAATGGGAAACGTGACATAAGATGTCTTTTCAGTGCAAAGAGGACAATAGGAATGACTGTAAGAATGCTAGCCTACAGCATAATTAATGTGCTGCAATGAATTATATTCCTTTCTGGAGAACAGGCATTCATCACTCTGTGAAAAGATATTTTGTTGATTTTCTTTACTATTTTTCTTGGCTTAACCTAAGAGAAAGAGAAAGGATAAACAAGTTTAGGGCATGGGAAGAGTAATGCTTTGTGTGGGGACTGAGGAACAAGTTGGGAAGCTGGGAATGCCTTGACCAGTCCTGGCCTTTGATAGTAATTCAGTCTGTGACCTTAGATAAGTCACTTCGTTTCTACTCAATTTCTCCATCTGAAAAATAAGAAGCTATCTTCTTAGGGCAAGCCACCTCTCCTAAGCAGTGTCATGACTGGGGGGTCTGGGAAGTGTTTTGGAGGTGTTGGGGCAGAGAAGGGTGGTTCCTGCAGCTGGTGCAGCGTCCTGGGTCTGGGAGAAAGGCGGGAGCTCGCTGCCCGGTCAGTGTCACTTCAGCAGGGGACCGAGCATCCCAACGCCTGTGTTCGTGTTCCACCCCCCCGGGGAGCCCTGTGGATTCCATAGCCGAGCCAGTTCCCAGCTTTATGACCTGTTTTCAGCTGCTGCCAAAGAAATGGGTGAGATGCTCATTCCCCAATGAGGCTGAGTGGGAGGCATCCTCTATTCCTGCACTTTCAAAGCGTAGCTGCTATCTTTTATTCAATCTTGAGCTAGTGATATGATGTATTTTCTTATTTTTTTGATCATGCATCATTTGGTAAAACACATTAACATGCATTTAAAAGATGCGCAGAATCCCTGAATCCATAGGGATTTTTTTACCCTACTTTGCTCTAACTTGCATCTACCTTTGGAGGCTTTGGACATAAGTTTCCACTGATGAATCCCTGTCTTTGGGCTGTGAGAGCCATCTCTGAGCATAGCAGTCACTGTTTTTAGCAGCCAGCCTGTTCTGAGCCTGGGGGCCGGGCTGCCGCTGCCCTGCAGCTGCAGGAGCCTGTGCTGCATCCCCATCCCCATCCCCATCCCCACCCCTGGAAGGGCACCTTGCAAAGGGTCCTGCACGTTCTTGCACATTGCCTGCTACTCCTCTGCTCCCCCAAAATGATCTGTGCCTTTGAAGGAGGCAGCTAAGGTTACCACTAGGTGAAGATGAAAAGAACAAATCCAATAAAATATGACCAAGTGAAATCTGCCTGAAGACAAGAAGAGGAATTAACATTTTTAATTCTTCACAGATTATTGGCAAGAAAGGCAATTAAATAGCCTGATGTAATAGTATCTAATTTACTTGCAAGACTAAAAATTAGCGGTTATAATGACATACCAATACTTGGTTTTCTGATTACCAAACATGTATTAAGGTGCATATGTGTGTATATATATATATGTCACATTTAGATTTCCTAATTTGCTATTATTTGCCTGTAGATGGTAATTCATTGCCTTAAAATACTGAGAGGAAAAAAAGAAATAAGTCTCTTGCTGCTTTTAGCTCCGGATATAATTCTGACCTTAAGAAGGAACAAGACAGATATGAAAGAGTATATTAGATGTTATTATTACCATAATAAAATACAGATAAAAATCATAGTGCAGAAAGACTCTAAGACAACTATTAAACATTTGTCATATAAAGAAAATCAAAATTTAACTTATCAGATATTCTGGCACTTTAAAGATTCATCATGAAAAATTACTTCGAACAGTGAAGCGTTTATGCAATATGTCATTGATGAACTGTCTGCTTAAATGCTTAAAGAGTTTGGAAAAAGAGAAAAAAAAGGCAAAGATATGCTTTTTATTAGTCTGACACAATGTTTGACTATATTGAAATTTATTTTTAATAGTGAAACAGTATGGCATTACACATTTTAAAGAAAAAAAGCTGAGCTCATTGTCCTACCCTAACATGTGATGGTTAGTGAGCATAACCAAACCAAGAATGTAGCTTGTTGACTGAAAAAATCATACAGCTGCACATCAGACTTCACTCCGGTAGCTGGTGTTAGAGCCTGGGGGAATTTTTCTGCCTTTGTGGTGATAGAAAGACTTTTTTTGTCTAATACTCTACTGGGTTTGAAGTCATTGGGTTGACTACGCTTAAAATTAAGCATATCTTAGAAGCTTGATCAACTGAGACCTATCTTCTCAAAGTCTTCAGTGTGAACCTTTCAGAGGACATAAAAGGGCTCAGCGTGATAAGAAATGAGCTATCAAGTGCTGCTCTCGAGACATCAGCCACAACTCACTGAAGTCAATAGAAAGACACTGAGCATCTTCAGCAGGCTTTGGATCAGGCGTTCAGCGTATTAACGGTAAGAGTATTTTGTGTTCGCTTCTTACAGTCGGTCGAATGAATCCAGTGAATCTCTATGGCAACCCTTGAGCACCTCACAGCAGCAATGTGCACTAATAGAGCTTTCTTCCCAGAAAGCCTCCTCGTGGATTTTTGTGGTTTGAGCCTCCTGTCTCTTTTAGCCCCCCACACCCCCCCCCCGTATCCCAATCTGGGGAGCGTAGCATCGCTGGCATTGCAAAACCGCAGCCAAATGCTGGAGCTGGGAGCTCCGGGAGGAGCCCAGGCCACGGCGGTCGGCTCTGTGTCTTCATTAGCAGCCACTGCATCGTAATTAGTAGCATGACACTTGGATGAACTGAAGGTCTACAAGGATGCATGTGTAGATTCACTGTTAAGCACAAGGATGGAAATACGGGAGTAAGCATTATTCTAGAGTGATTTCAGCCTCTGCACCACTTTTTAAATTTTTTTTTAATGAAGACTACACTAGCACGTAGATGGTGGTTATACGTGTTGTGGAGGTTTGTTTAGTTTACAAGTAAAAATCATAAAGTAAATTAAAAGAACTAATGGATCTCAACTTGATTCAAAATACAGGGGGAAAGGGAGGATATGTATAAGTAAAAATGACCATTGGGGGAAAAAATCATTATGCTTTAGTGATATTTGCCCTTCTTCACTGATGATTTAATTGATATTCCTCTGCAGTGCTGGTTTAGAATATTTTTACAGTA